AACCCTAAACCCTACAGTAAACCCTAGACCAAGCATCAAGCCCAACTCCCCTCCTCTTCCCGAAAGCAGCTGAGGCAGCGCCCTCCCGGGAAATGGCACCTGCCGACCAGATCTGCCTCCGCCGCTTGCCTTGCGTTTAGCATACCGTAGGGTATATAGTATGTAGTATAGTATAGTATGGTATATAGTATAGTATAGTATGGTATATAGTATAGTATAGCGTAGTATATTATATAGTATATGAATCATTACCAATGCTATTTTAGCCCCAAGCCAGATTATATTTTGTTGTGGCTCCTAGATTATGGGTTCTGGGCTTCTGGGGGGCTTAATAGTTTGGGCGGGGTATCAGGGTTGGTCGTTTTGTTCTTTTCGTTTGGGTTTCGGGGGACTTGATCTATATTTCAGCATTTAGCTTTAGGTTTGGAATTAGATAGGGTGTTGCAGTTTCAACATGGTTTATTGCTCTTCGTCAGCTCTAGGAGTAGTGTTCGCAATAACCGGAGCCCCCAAACGCTCAACTATTGGGGCCTTTGGGGGTTTGGGAGTTTAGGGGTTTGGGGCTTAGCGGGTTGGGATGACGAATGGCTTCATAGAGCTGTTTGCTCATATGTGGTGTTGGGCACGCTACACTACAACATGGTGAAACCCTGTTGCCTGCAGAGCGAGCCAACAACCGGGCCGGTGTTTGGAGGTTCTGGGTTTCGCAGATTTAGGCACGAACCCGCGAAAGTCTACTCACCACACGCCATAAACAGCACCTGTACCACAAACCCTTCGATTTCCCGTAAGAGTCCGCCCTTCCCAACGTCCTGAAACCCGAAACACTGAAACCAAAAACTTCAACCCTAAAACAAACTTCGACGCTAAAGCCTGAACCCATAAACCCCATACGCATGTAATGTAATGTGATGCATTGTACTGTTCTGCAATTTTTCATATATCACGTGATGTAACGGAATATGATAGGTTCTACTAAGAGATATGTTATGATATTATGATATTTTATTACTTAACATAACATAGATATAACTTAATTAATATAGCATCATATGTTATAAAACAACTTAACCATTAACATAAGTCTAACATCATAGCATACAAAACCCCAAAAAGCCTCAGCCCGAAGCCGTGGAGGCCCAGGGTGCTGACGCATCTCCAGGGAGCCCGCGGCCAAGGCCTGGGGAACTTGCTGTGCCTCGGCAGGAGCTTTCGAGGGGCGGGGAGGGTTTAGGGTTTAGGGTTCAAGGTTTAGGGTTCAGGGTTTCGTTTAGGGTTTAGGGTTCGAGGGTGGAGGGTTTTTCTGGGCTTTTGGGGGTGCTTTTGAGGGCTTCAGAGTCTATGGTAGGTCTATGACTAGTCTGTAATCTTTCTAGAAGGGGGCTTTTGAAGGGGTTCGGCGGGAGCACAGGTTTGAGTTCGAGTTTTTTCGGGTTTGGTGTTTAACGTGATGGACATCTGGGGTTCTACTGTAGGTGCTGTAGTGCTGAGACATAGGGTGGGCACAGTAGTTGTAGCAGCAGGAGGACTTGCTATGACAGCGACAAAACGTTGTAAAGCTGCGAAGCATATGGACCCTAAGCCCTGAATCCATCTGAATCCAAAACCCTGAAATTGGCGCCATTGCACTGTAAAATAGAAACCCTGAAGCACGACCAGGCAGGGTTTGCATTCCGCGCTCCACATTGCCATGATCTCTGGCAGAGCCTTCCGGATGAAGTGGCCGAGGTGCTGAGCCTTGAAGGGAGAATAGGGTTTCGGCTAATATTCCACTGTAGCAGCTTTCTAGCATGTTTATACTATTTTATACTGAGGAACCCGTATGCCCTTATCCTCCTAGATTGGGGCAGTGCCAGTGAAGGAGGCCATGGAAGGGGTGGTCTGAGGTGTCCGCAAGTTGAAGCGGGTCTTGGGCGACGGGTCAGGGGTTCAGGAATCAGGGTTAGCATTCAGGGTTTATTGTAGACGGTGTAGAGCTTAGCGTTCAGGGTTTAGGGTTTAAGATTTAAGATGGTTTCGGGTATTGGGGAGGAATCGTTGCACCTACTTCCGAAGCTTACGTCGAAAACCTTTGAGCCCAAGCTCAAAGGCCGACTTGCCTCCAAAACCCCTAAGCAATGTACCGTGTAGTTTATAGTATAGTATATAGTATAGTATATAGTATAGTATATAGTATAGAAAATAGTACAGTATAGAAGCAACCCCGTAGAACGACGCCTTGAGCGTTCTGAGAGGAGCCCCAAAAAGGAATCCTTGAAGCCCAGCGCTCCGATGTGCAGGCTTGAAGACGCCGTCCGGCCGCGGTTCCTGAACTGGAAAGATCCGGTGGGATGCAACCTCTCCACTCACTGTCTATCAGGGTTTAGGGTTTAGGGTAGGGCTTTAGGTTTCCATAAGGGTTTATGGGCTCCGGCAGGCTTAGTGGCTCCTGTAGAAGCCTTCTAGAAAGCTGACATGGAAGGCTTCATCGGTTCCTAACGATTTCTATATCTGCATTCGATGGAGTGATACTGTGAGCCGTATTTTCAGGGCTTCTCTAACGCTTTTCCTAAGGGTTACCATGCAGATGTAAGGTTTCTATGAGGGCAACAGGGTTTCTTTTGGGATTTTCTTTTGGGATTACTGTGAAGACTCTGGCATTCCGGATTTTTCGGTGTTTCCTCGAAGCCTCCCGAACATCGGAATTGCAGAAAGCGCAAAAGATGCAGATGCACTAGACCCTAAGCCCTAAACCCTAAACCTAAACCCTAAACCTAAGCCCCAAGTCCCAAATCCCAGATTCCAAACACCAGCACACTCCCCGCCCTTCTCCCCTGAGCCCCAAACCCGAAATCCGAAACAGGCCTAAACCCTAAACCCTAAACCCCAATTCGTAAAACCTAAGCCCCGAACCCCCAATCCCTGATCGCTAAACCGCAATTCCCAAACCCCCAAAACCCCTACACTCCAAAGAGCTCGGAGGTGGGAGCTGGTTGCAAGCCGCAGTTGGCGGAGCTTTGGAACTTCGGCCGGTTCCAGGACCGGATCGTAGTCGGTTTAGGGGGTTTTAGGGCTTTTAGGGCTTTTAGGGTTTTAGGGTTTAGGCTTTACGGTTTACGGGGTTAGGGTTCAGGCTTTAGGGTTTAGGTTTAGGGTTCAGGGGTATTCTGAAGGTGTTTCAAATACTATATGGGTCTCTATAATACTCGACGGGTTTTTGCAGTGCGATAAGGATTTCTAGAACGCGGGGTTTTTTACAATACAATAGGGGGTTTCTATGAGGGTTTCCAAAATATGATAAGGGTTTCAGTTGTCCCATACTTCGTCAATGCTACGCGCTTGGACTGGACGACCCGCATCCGCAGTCGTTGTTTTTGGATTCAGACCGGCTGAGGAGGAACCTCCTTGACCTTGATGCCCTAAACCCAAAACTCCCAAACCCTAAGCCGTAAGCTCTAAACCCAAAGCCCGAAGCCCAACACCCTAAATCCCAAACCCTGAGCATCCCTGAGCCCTACACGTAAGCCCTAGGACCTCCTAAACCCTAAGCCCTAAGCCTTAAACCCTAAGCCCTCAAACCTAAACCCTCAGCCCTAAACCCTGGAGTTTAGGAGGCCTCCTGAACTCTGGAAACATAGTGACTCCAACATCCCTGCGACAATTGTAAGTGACTATGTGGGTAGTTTTCTAAATCAGGGTCCCTTTTAGGATCCTGAAAACAAGGGTGCCGTACTATACTGGGGACCCAAAAAAGGGACCCTAATTTAGAGAACCACTCATGTGCGTCGGTCCGCTTAGCCGCCTTCACAGGAGATGTCCTGCGGACCACAGCTGGTCTCAACAAGACTTCTATAGAACACCCCCTCCTCACTCTGAACCAAGCCTGCGACACGTCACATAAAAGTGTGCGTGAAAGCTCCAGCGGCTATCACAGCAGCGGAGCTCGGTGAGCAGCCGTGTGTTCAAAGCCATCAACAGCTCGTTTTGGGGCCAACCGCTGCTCGACCTCGGCCATCGCTGCCCGCAGGGCCACGCTGAAGCGTAGTTTTTTTTTTTTTTGGGGGGGGGGGTCTAGGCGTCTCAGGGTACCAGGCTTAGGGTGGCTTGAGGGTTCGGGCTTTGGGCTTTGGGGGGCCAAACGCTTTAAGGGCTTTTAGGGTTTGGGGTCAGGGTCTCTGGGCTTTTAGAAGTAGGAAGTTCTATTCCATTTCATTAGAAATCCCCTGGATTACATCATATCTGATAAAGCTTGACAGGCAGCGTTATCACGCCCCAAGAAAGCCCTTTGGACATCGTTAGATTAACTACAGTAGCCGGAAAAGCCTTATCAACAAATCCTAAACCCTAAACCCTAAACCCTAACCCCTAAACCCTAAACCTTAAACCCTAAACCCTAAACCCTACATTTTGTTAGGGTTCAGGGCTCAAGCGTTCAGGATGCTCCCACGCCCGGAGGACAACTTTCGCCCCACCCTGACCCTGGCAAATGGCAGCGTTGCCATGATGCACTTCACCGGGAGCCTGGGATGCAGACCCTATAAGCCCTAAACTCCCTAAACCCTAAACCCTAAAGGCCTTATCCCGAAACCCTAAAGGCCCGAAACCCTAAACCCTAGGCCCTAAAAGGCCCTAAAGGCACTAAAGGCCCTACAGGCACTAAAGGCCCTAAACTCTCAGCCCGAAACCTGGGATGCAGAAGATGGGCGCGGCAGAGGAGAGCTCAAGAGCTCTGCTTTTGAGAGCGCGTTTGGTGTTGGACTCTTCCCCTAGGCCCTAAAGCCGAGAAGAAAGCCCTAAACCGCAAGCCCCGAACCCTAAACCCGACGGCTTAATCCAGAAAGACCCTAAAGGGAGAATCCTACGGCCGAATCCCCAAACCCTAAACCCTGAAGAGAGATTCTAGAGAGGACCCGATGCCTTCACTTCCTTGGGCCCGTAGCAAGTAGGTGCCCTTTACCCTCATCCCTGAAACCGGCGCTTTTAGGGGCTTCGATACGGGGTTTTTGTGAGAGATTCTAAACAGGGCTGTTCGCTAAGAGTATCGAAAGGGCTTGCACACCATATAAATTTACAAAGAAGCTTCGTATGAAGCTTTCAAAGGGCCTTTAGAGCAAGCTCCGCCTTGGAATCCTTCAGCCCTCGCAGGGCACAGAAACGCAGGTGTCTCTTGTCTTCGTGGGCTTTCCAGCTTCGTCCTGAAGTCTCTTGTGTCCGGTGCATCTCTGTTCAGTAGGCGCCATGGTTATACTATGAATTTTTCTTGAAATATTTGTGTGAGATAGGCAGCAGACACAGAGACCGAGAAGCTGGCTTTACACACTTAGGGGGTGCAAGCTGTAGCCTGGAGAGCGTTTGGAGTCTTCGAGAAAGGAGGGTGTATTCCCAAATGCATCTAGCTTTGCAGGCAGGAGACTGTAGAAAGATCCGCCCCGCTATAATGAACGGTTGGCCCCAGCCCCAGAAGGTACCAAAGTGCAAGCTCCCGTTGACCCTACGCCCTCAGCCTCTCGCCTTTTGTGCCCCCTAAGCCATAAGTACACCCTAAACCCTAAGCCTGGAAGCCAACTTAAGAGATGGCCCAGCCGTTGTGGAACAATCGTTGCTGTGGTTTTTTGATGTCGAAGCTGCGGGTCTGGAAAGGAACTGGGGCATGCTGCCGCCAAAGTGGGGCAACCTCTCCGGTATAGGCAGCGTCTGCTGTGTTTCCAGTTCTTTGCCACCACATAGGTTTTGTAACGCCAGCCGAAACGAACCTTTAACCCTCTACCCCAAGCCGGCCCGAGCGCCCTGCACCCTTAAACTCCGAAATGCGAGTCACTAAACTCTACGAGAACCCCAAGCTCGACTGAAGCCGATCAACTCCTAAACAAAAAAGCCCCAGAATCCCGTAACCCCTAAACCGTAAACCCTAAACCCGAAACACCTAAACCCCTAAACCCCTACACCCCTACACCCCTAAACCCCTAAACCCCTAAACCCTAAACCCTAAACCCCTAAACCCTAAACCCCAGGACCATTAAAGCCTAAAAACACCTAAACCCTGATGGAGCCCTTACGAGAATCCGATCTCAAAGCTCCAAGAAGCTCCCTTCGGAGTTTCAGGCTCCGGGCTGCGTGGCTCTCTGGCTTCAGTGTTCGAAAGTTTAGGGTTTAGGGGTTTAGGGTTTAGGGCTTAGGGTTTAGGGTTTAGGGTTTAGGGGTTTAGGGGTTTAGGGGTTTAGGGTTAGGGATGGCTTGCCTCCTCTGCGGTTTGGTCTTCAATGGAATTGCATCGGCGGCCAGCAAGCACGCCCAGGACGTGCAATGCTGAGCTTTCTCACTTTTGGCACTTTTGTTCAGGTTGCAGAGGGCCTGGAAAGTTACGCCAAGGGCGTGAAGACAGAGACGTTGCTCAGGCAGAAGATGGTGGAAGGCTTGGTGTGCGTCCTCAGCCTCCTGGTAACGGCCGATGCCCTGGCCGTCGCAGGCAACTTGCTCTCCGTCCCCTGCCCCTCGCGACTGGCACATGATCTCGACAAGAAGGCCATCCAGGAGCGCGAGGAGTCAGCCCATCTTCGGCCCATGTCTTCGTTCACGATCCTCGCGTTCCATGTTTCTGAGGTGCTTGCAGCGCGAGTCGTCGTTCTCTTTGCCTCGACCACGAGGCCCTGGGGCCTTCCCGCGTCTAGCAGTGCGGTTGGCCACATGCCACATCTCACACCAAGAGACGATGTCAAAAGTAGACATCCCCGAAGCTGGCTTCTTGGAGCGAGAAGACATCGAGTTTAGCCGACGGACGAGGCCGTCGCCAAGTGGACGTACTGATTGGACTGAAGAGGAGCTTGAAGCCGAGTACACCGAGCATTTCATAAAGTGTTCCTGGATCTTCGCCATGAACAGGCCGAACGCGCCGAAGAACCCGTGAAGCAGAAGAGGGAGGGCTGCAGTGGCTGCAGCTCCTGCGGGAAATCGTTTCCCATGGAGCATTCGAAAGTGGATGCGGAGAGAGAAGTCAGCGAGCCCGAGGCCAAAGGTGTCCGTGGTGTCCGGTTTCCGCATTTTTTCGCCGTTCGCTGCCATGTGCCGCAAGTACTACTTACGACACAGTGCTGCGAATCCGGACACCACGGACACCTTTGGGGCACAACACTCGCAGTCTGCAGCGAGTGCTCTGCAGTGCCTCTGCCGCACACAGGTTGCTTGTGACGTGGTCGGTCGTCGAGATTAGGGTTTGTCTGCCTTTTCCAGTACGGCTGGAGAGTTCCAGGACAAAGTTCTGCCACCATAATCGGCATCATCAGCACCTTTCCATACGTGCAACCGGTGCTCTCAGAAGATTTCTCACCAGCGGAGTTTTTCTGCGGCAACATGTCTCATGTGTCAAGCAACCCAGCTCTCATATCCGGAACCCAACAAATCACCCGGCCGTGCTGCAGGGCTGCCGGACGTGGGCATCCGCGATGCCTTCCCGCTGCGGGGGCAGGTGGGTTTCTTCTGCGAACTCTAGGTTGAGCACTATCATCGTCATCACCAGCTTCATCATTATTATAATCATCACATCCTCCCAAGGTCCACCACCCTGGCCACCATCACCATCACCGTCGCCATCGCCATCGTCATCATCATCATCATCGTCATCATCATCATGATCATCAGCAGCATCATCACCATCATCATCGTCATCGTCCAAATCAGTATTATTCTCGTGGCTGCTATGGCCCAGGTTCATATCAGAGTCGTATTTGCGATTGTGGTATCATTTCGATTGTTGGCATCGTGCGCGCATGTTGGTATTGGTTTCGCTGGCATTGCTCCTTCCGCCGCGGCGCTGCTGCCGCTGCTGCAATTGCTGCCTGCTGCTGCTGCTGCCTCATAGCGGCACCGGCGAGCATGATCTTCGTCATCATCGCCACCATTATCATTATGCTTGGCAATATTTCGGACTTATCACTGGCGTTTTTTGGGCGGTTCATACTATTGTTAGCTACTATTGAGTTCGTACTATCATTTTTCGTTATCATTATTATCATATGTATTATGGTTGCCACAAGTACCACTGTGATTTTCATGTCGGTGACGACGACGACTGTAATAATGATGTTTATGATGGTGGTGGTGACGACGATGATGATGACGATGTTGGTGATGGTCATGGTGGTATCTACTCTTAAACGACCCGACAGCGGAAAGCAAAATCAATTTGGAAACCGTCGTGGTCACAGCCACTACGCTGGTCACCTGGTCATAATCGTCGCGACGGGGTCATCGTCACCACACCATCATCATTGCTGTTTGCATTAATCTCGAATTGTCAGTGCTGGTGTCATGACAACTGTTACGATGCTTCAAGTTCCATTTGTCCTTATTGGCATTGTTATTGCTAGTGATTGTAGTGCTACCGCTGTTAGTACCATGGCGATCACGACGACGTTGGTATTAGGAGGCCCATCGGAGAATGGCTGCAAAATGGAGGTGTGAAACCAACGTCCATGTCAGTGGAGTATCAAATTAGGTGTTAATCGAACATGGAGAATGCATCCATTTTTTCAGGAGGTGATAGCGAACCTGGATTTTGCAGCCATTTTTACAGGAGGCATTAGGCCACAGACATGATAGTCGATGAATGGGAAGCCTGGCTTGTGAGCCGTGACCAAAGTGTCCCTCCTCCCTTTCCCCTTTTATGGGGAGGCTGCAAAACGGACACTGGATTGGACATCAATTTTTGGGGCTGTCCGAAAATGTATGTAAAATGGATGTGCACTGGACGCCCATTTCCGGCCCCTACCCAACATCCAGTTTATATCCATTTTCCCAGGCAAAATGGATGTAAAATGGATGTTCTGCCATTTTCCGAACCCCCGCCCAACATCCATTTGACATCCATTCTCCAAGCGAAACTGGATGTAAAGTGGATGTTCCAGAATGGATGTTGATTTCCGGTCCCTTGACAAACATGGATGTAAAAATGGATGTGGCTTTCATACCTCCCCGGAAACTGGATGCCCAAGTGGATGTGGCTTTCGCACCTCCCCAGGCCAAAATGAGCTGCTTTGTTGGGGTTTGGGACGATGTATGCTTACTCAACGCGGAAATAATTGCAGGGCCGTTCATACGAAACCCGACAGCTTGCAACGACCGACACGCAAACAAGGGAACACCGTGGCCACATCCAGTTTGCACTCCCTTTCCAGTTCACAGTCTTAATGTATGTTCGTTTAGGGTTCATTTCCAACATCCATTTCTACAACATCCACCTCTATCCATACTCCCAACATCCATTTCCCTAACCTAGCCTCTAGCCAAGATGGGCATCTTAATGTTGATGATGATGATGATGATGATGGGCAGGGGAGCTCTCTGCTCGAGGCGCCAGGCTGTCTACTCCACTTCGTCATGGGCGCAAAGGAGTCCCTACTGAAGGACCCGGACCCATGGCACAGCCGATCTTGGGGCTTAGGGATCCTCTGCGTGGGGCTTGAGGCATTGAGGTTAGGATGTGGGGACAGAGGCTTGGAGTTCAGTGCTTAAGGTTCGGTGTTATGTAGTAGTGGTTCTTACGAAACCGTGCCTAGGAGGGTGTATTATAGAAGGGTACCCCTAAACCCTAAACCCTAAACCCTAAATGTATGAAAGCAGGACGTGGACAGGGCTTTGGGGCACCAGCCCCCCGGCCAGATTGCTCTTCAGCTCCGCACGGGGGATGCGGTGAAGAACTCCATCTCAGGCGACGGCAGAGACAAGCGCCGCTTGGTAAAACCCCTAAACCCCTAAGCCCTAAACCCCTAAACCCTAAACCCTAAACAATGAACCCTAAACCCCTAAACAATGAACCCTAAACCCTAAACAATGAACCCTAAACCCTGTTTAGGGTTTAGGGGCTCTGGGGCTGTTTTTTGGAGTCCGGCAGTTTCCGAGTCCACTGGGCAGAGGTCCAGCCAACCCCAAATTCCAACACCCAACAGGAATGAAAAGCCCCAAACCCTAAAACCTTAAGACGGGGTAAGGCCAAGTGATCGTGAACAAGGTCTGGGGTTTGGATAACCCGAAGAGGGCTGCGACGGTGATGGCCGAGTGCTTCAGGCAACTCTGTGGCCACCTCTTCTCCCAACCCGGCCTCTCGGCTTTGACATCCTTCTAGTTAGTAGCTGCTCCATAGGGTTGAGGGTGAAGATGTTGATCAAGAGCTAATGGTGGTTAGATTGTGGGTTTCGTCGTTGTTGGGTTGAGGATGTCGTCTTGATTTTACGGCGTCTCTATGAGTACTCCAACCCGGTTAGCACCTCGACGTCGCCTCAGGCTTGGCGGGTAAGCTGACCGGTCCGAAGTGCGTCGGGCTCTTCGAGACGGATAACTTCGATGCCAGGCACACCATCCAGGGCCTGGGACCCCAGAGCGGTGCCACGGTCCTTCGGGCGTCCGGTATCGATCCGAAGCACAGCGTGCAGGACTCCGCCATCTCCATCACCTTGGCTTCCATGATCGCCATGGCATCGCACGAGGTGCTCCTGAAAACAGCTGGTTCTATCGGAGAGATCGCGAGGCAGCTGGGCTCCGGGATTCGACCCGGTGGACGCTGGTTCCTCTTCGAGACCTTCCTGAAAGAGCGGGCTGCGCGGAACCAGTCCGAAGACAACCTAGCCAGGCTTTGCGACCCGGCCTTCCACCCAGCAGGCTGATTGCAAGAGACCAAGATGCATCAAGAGATCCCAACTTCTCCCCGGCGCTGCGAACTTCAGACGTAGCACTGTCGAGGTCTGTCTACTCTGGCCCTAAACCGATTGATATCCGCCGCTGCAGTCGGAAAGCCGAAGGGATCGATGTCGTCTCTTCGTGGGAAAGGGCTCTCTGCCGGCCAGGTGACGGTGATGAAGAAGGCCTGAGATGGCGAAGTTCCACCGTGGCAACTCCCCACTGTAGGCGGGGCATGATCTGCTTCAGGATCCAAAGTCCGGCGACAAACGGCATTGACGGTATGCGCCGTTTTCGACGGATGCGGCTGCGTCAGCAGCTGCATGGGAAGACTGTTGAAAGACGCGACGAATCCTTCCTTCATCACTGCAGCTGTCCAAAATCTGTACCTGTCCAAAAATTTATTACCACTGCTTCCTCTTCCCCTAAACCCCTAAACCCTACTCCTGGCTCCTGTCCCTAGACACATCTCCCATCAGCAGCCGCTTCAGGCCCTTTATCCCTAGACCCTAGACCCTAAACCCTAAACTGACTCACAGGTTCATCCCATCCTCTCGTGATGAAAGCTTCCGACCAGCATCAGGCTTATAATGCAGAAGCCTAGAATGATTATCAAGACTATGTCGTCGGGTCCCTTACAGTAAGAATGGAAATTTATAGCATAAAGGTGCCCAAAGCCCTATTCTATTTGTTACGGCCCCTAGATTATAGAATTTGGGATTTTTTCGGATGTGGGAGTCGAAAGCGAGGGTTTAGGGTCAGGGTTTAGGGTTTAGGGTTCTTGGTTTAGGGTTCAGGGTTTAGGGTTCAGGGTCCAGGGGTTCAGGGTCCAGGGTTCAGGGTCCAGGGTTCAGGGTTTAGGGTTTAGGGTTCAGGGTTTAGGGTTCAGGGTTTAGGGGTTTTAGGGTTTAGGGTTTCGGGTTTAGGGTCACGAGTACGAA